TCGTCGGCCTCCTCTCCGAGGCCTCTGCTTTCACAGCGACTTCAAAAATCCCCTTCAATGTCCAGGAGTTCAACGTTGTTTCCTGCTGCCTCGCGACCAAGGCCTCCACGGTGGCCTTGGGCATGGCTCGGAGCTGCCCGTGGACCCTCTCGATGTTGGTTCCATCGCACATATTCGCCCATATCGTTTCCATCTCACAATAAAAAGTTGATTCCACCATGCATTTGTGGCTTGCCACGGTAGAATCCCGGCGGGTTTACGCTGCACCCCCGGATTTCGAGTGAGTGGTTCAGCGGCCGGCGAGGCGACTACACTAGTTCTGTGGGCTCATCGAGCCCCAATATGCCCCCCCGGTCCGCTCCCCCGCCGGGTCGTGGTTTCGTGAACGAGAGCAGAGCACATGGCTTGCTTGGCTGCATAGTCCAGAAGCATATCCTGCGCCTCTTCGATCTCGTGCTTGGTCAGCTTCGAGATCGTGGTCAGTGGCACTGCCTTGGCACGATAAAGCATGAAGTCAGCAGACCTCCAATCAGTGCAAGAGAGAGCGTCACGCAGATGCACCATGCAGGTAAGTGCATCACACAATGTAGAGTCGATACGTGGGCAATTCAATTGCGCAGCGGCATCAGGGGACGGTGGGGTGGCGACAATCTCGACGAAGTCCCTGTATAGCCTCGGGCCCAGCTCAGCTCGCCTTCGCGCATCAGAATTAAGCTTAGCAAGCACACACCCTTTCGCAAGAGCTGCCTTGATGTCTTCTTTCAGTATCTCCACCTCCTGATGAACATATGGGTACTGATTCAAAGGCACTTTTGAGACACACGGTGTGAGATGCCTGAGTGCAACCGCAGGATCCAGAGAGGCCTCAAATGATAGCGCTCGTAGCTCCAGCAGTTTCCGCAACCAGTCGATGATCTCGGGGCAGTTGATTCCGACGCATTCAACCGCGGTGTTCACGAGTGCCATCTCCTTGAATGGCTGCACATCGTTTGGGAGGAAGCGGAACAAT